GGCTACCGACCCAGGTAGTGGGAGGGCGGGTTAGTGACCTCTGTGTGACCGGCCCGCCGTGACCCGGTCACTCCATCGCCGATCCAACTAAAAGAGCACTGTCTGTACGCCGTGATCGGTGTGGACGATCAAATTACCAAAACAAAGTTAAAAAATGATGTTAAAACACAAAAGTAAATTCATTTGGTTGTTTACAAAGAGGTCAAAGATGCTACGGTTATTTAACTTTTCGAATCGAGCCGAACTACGCGGGTCGCCATTTTGTATTGTTCTCTCTCTTTCTCTCTCTCTCCACTGCCCACAGACAAAATTGTACGCTTTTAGTAGGCTACAAGTACAGTTGTAATGGAACGTTTGTTCACAGCACAGAATTCTACAATTTTTCTGTTATCACAGTGTAGAATTCTGTGGTTTAGGGTGAACGCAAAATTTGTTGGCCTAGATCTAGGCTATAACGGTGAACGCGCACCGGGTAAGAATAGCCAAAAGAAGACTCGCCTGCACTATTGAACTATTCTCACCCCGGGTGAGAATAGAGGTGGCCTATCAGCTTGTGAGAGGGGGTTATTCATGTGTTTGTAACACTTTATAAATAGAAAGCTATGAAGGATAGAGCGTTATTTTCATCATCAGTTAACACACTCCCGCGGTATTCATGGCGAAAACACACGTTTCCCGGCGCGCGCGCTGTACACCAACACTGCCAACAGTACAGTAGATACACTGATGATAGTGACCCCGGCGGCCTGCCCGGCACGTCCGACGTAATCGGTTGCTGATAAGATACTCATCTGGGCATAGACGCATGATAAGAGTTAATCCTACCCCTAACCCTACCCCAAGCCCTCAATTCTGCTCTGTCTCATATATAGATTCTAGTGGTCGCTCGTTACGGAAGTCCTCCCAACGAAGCTTTAGACTGCCGTGAACGTAACTTGGCGCATAACGGCACGGCAACAGAGGCTGAAGATTCTAGATCTAAACGTAAAGTAAAAAAACATAATCATACAAACGTGTCAAAGACACAGAGTTACTAGATCTAGGGAAAATAAACCTACCTTACAACTTTACTCCTAGATCTATCAAAATTGTTTAGTTTACAAATTATTATTATTATTGTCTGCTTGGCCTGTTTTTTCGTGCCAATAATGAAGATCGCGCGTTGTTGCTATAAAAAGTTGGACTGGCACTTCCGATTAATTTTACTTTCATCGATTACTATGTACTGATTCGACAAAACGAGAATACGAGACAATTAATATTGTTGTCTTGAGAATTTAATTACATTAAATACAATCAGACAAATACGAACTTTTCGATTTAAATGTGAAAAACACAACGGACTTTGTTTGTTTTCATGAGGTACCCCCGTTTGAAGCCCGTTGTTCAGTTTGGCCTTATACAATGTAGGCCTATTATTACAGACTTTGAGAGCAGTGAACTAACTTAAAGTACGGTTAAGGGGGAAGGGGGGGGGGGGACTACACCTGAAGGCTATCTCGCTTATTACTGGACCAAATTTTTCCCAATTTCACACTTATAACAAGCATAGTAAGGAGTCTTAAAATCCGCAATCAAATTAGAGAAAAAAGTTTGTTTCTATGGATACGGTGGCCATCTTGGATTTTGTTCATATGACTTACTTACGTAATGAATACCATACTTATTGCGCTTGGGAATTGATTGTGTTTTTTTACATGCATGTTAACAAGCCTTAGATCTGAAAATTTGTCTGGTTTTTTTTTTTCCTAAACGAATTAGAACATTTTTCATGAATTTTTTTCCTGAGGTACCATTCAAGTTTGCGAAAAATCCGTGAAAATCCAGACTCCAGACACCACCAACAAAAATCTCTTCCATACATGTCAAAAATTCAACAAACAAAGTTTTAGTATTACATCTTCTCTTCATTCTGTGAAATTTCATGAAGATTTGAAGAAAAGTGGTGGAGTTATTCAGAAAAATATAGAGAAAAATCGCGTTTTGAGAAAACGGCCGATAAAGAAAAATAAAATATTGACTTTATGAGGAAATGGTGGTGACGAACATGCCTAGTATGGGGGTAATGCTGTTTTGGGGGGTTCTTATGTGATGAAATAGTTGTATGAGAGGCTTAGGAAGCTAAAAATGCCTACAAAATCAAATTCCATAATTTTGAGCCGAATTGGTACTTTGGGGGTGTAGCCCCTTCAAAAATTCGTAGTGCAACTTATTGATATTGTTATTATTATTTCCTAAACTATCAAACATAGACTCTCCAGCTTTGCACAATGACTACTATCAATTTGTCTTAGCAGATCAATATTTTTGTATACACCTATATTAGTTGTATTCTAGAACATATTCTTTTATAAGTAGCATACTAATTTAAAAATCCCTACATAAATTTGAAAAGGTTTACAGCTGGTGGAGCTGGAGCAATGTCGCTCATTTTTTCCTATCGTGGCAGTAGCCTATCTTTATTGAACGCATGTTTTGAAAACCTTCCCAGTGAAAGAAACGTGTTCACTATAAAATTAATTGATTGTAAAAAGTTTTGCCACTAAAAAGTGCCGTTAGCTATAATATGAGCTGTGACTTACGCCTTGCGTAGGCCTAGGCAGAATGTGTGTAGGAAGCGGGTAGTTATGTGAACAATTCCACCCGTGTGGCGGAGATTAAGGGGGGGGGGGGCTACACCCCCAAAATCAAAATTCGGCTCAAAATCATGGAATTTGAGTTGTAGGCATTTTTAGCTTCCACAGCCTCTCCTACAACTATTTCATGGCATAAGAACCCCCAAAAACCGTATTTTTTCCCATACCGGGCATGTTTGTAACCGCCATTTCCTCATAAAGTCAGTATTTTATTTTTCTTTATCGGCCGTTTTCTCAAAATGCGACTTTTCTCTATACTTTTTTGAATAACTCCACCATTTTTCATCCAATCTTCATGAAATTTTCACAGAATGAAGAGAAGAGGTAATACTAGAAATTCGTCTGTTGAATTTTTTATATATGGAATAGATTTTTGTTGGTGGTGTCTGGAGTGTGGATTTTCACGGATTTTTCGCAAACTTGAATGCTACCTCAGGAAAAATTCATTAAAGATTTTCTAATTCGATAAAGAAAAAAACAACAGACAAATTTTTAGATCTAATGTTTGTGAACACGCATGCAAAAAAACAATCAATTTCCATGAGTGGTAAGTGCGGTATTCATTACGTAAGACAGGTCAATAAAATCCAATATGGCGGCGTATCCATGGAAACGAAACTTTTTTTCTCAAATTTAATTGCGGATTTCAAGACTCCTTACTATGCTTGTTATATGTGTGAAATTTGGTAAAATTCGGTCCAGTAATAAGCGAGATAGCCTCCAGGTGTAGCGCCCCCCCCCCCCCCCCCTTAATACATTTATGAAGAGATTTTTTTTCTAATCTCTTGCCTCGATTGTTATGGAAAAATAATGACTTAGTTAAGAAAAATTGATACAAATTGTTTTACAAAGTATGAGTGACATTGATTCACCCGTTGAAGAGATGTTTGATTATAATATAAGCTGCGCCGCGAATTTTTGACAATAATGTGTTTGTAGTTACATCTAGGCATTCACATAACATAATAGATTAGAACCCGTACTGAAAGTGTAGCGACCGACCGCCCTAGTAATTCAAAATAATAAAGGTGCTTCCAGATTTTGAGGACAATTTTAATTTGGGTCTGGATGGAGTTTACCCGCAGCTGATGTAACAAAATAGTAGCACTCAAACGAAAACGCAATAATGTGTTGGTGGTTACAACTACGTACGGACAAAATCTGATAGGTTATAACCTATATTGAAAGTTCAACGACCAATCGCACTAAGTGCTCAAACAATAGTAGCACAAAGAAAAAATATGCTTCCAGCATTTCAGAAAACATGTATGATTGGATAGAGCTTGGCCGGGCAAAGAAGACAATAAAATGCGAGTACCCGTGGTAAAAAAACACCCCAATAATGTGTATTGTTGTTACAGCTAGGCAAGGGCAAAACAAATAGAACATAACCAATACAACCTAAAGTGTAAGGAACGACCTCACAAGATACCCAGAACATTAGTAGGATACAGAAAATGAGAGGCTTCCAACATTTCAGACAAATTTGGGTTTGTGTGGAGTTTCCGGGCAATGAATCCTTAAAATAGTAGCACTTGAAAGGAAACACAATAACGTGTTGGTGGTTACAACTAAGCAAGGGCTAAACCAATACAGAGAGTGTAAAAACTAATCGGATTAGCTACTCAAACCAATAGTAAGATTTAAAAAAAAAAAAAGATGCTTCTAGAATTTAAATTTAAGAACAAATATTTTTAAAAAATATGATTGAATTGAATTTAGCCTTCCAAAGAAGACAATAAAATTTGTAAAAAACACTAATGTGTTTATTGCTAGGCCTACATCTTGGCATGCACAAAGACTAATAGATTATAACTTATACTGAAAGTGTAACGACCGACAGCACGAGAAATTCAAAACAGGAGGACAAAGAAATAAAGATACTTCCAGTTGTCAAGGAAACATTTTGGTTTGGATGAACTTTACCAGGGCAAAGATGCCTATAGATAAAATAGTAGCATTTTTACGAAAACCAATAGTGCGTTGGTTGGTAGTTACAACTAGTCAAGGACAAAAACTCATAGATAATAATCAAATTAAAGTGTAACGACCGACAGCACAAGGTACACAATAAAGCGGTAGGAAAAAGTATAAAAATGCTTCCAGCCTTTCAGAACACACTAAATATGTATGTTTGAAAAGAGCTAAGCCGGGTAAAGAAGACCATAAAATACGAGTACTCGAAATAAAAAACAATAATAATGTGTTTGTTGTTACAACAAAGCATGGCCAAAAACTAATCGAGCAGAACCAATACCGAAAGTGTAACGACCGACCACACAAGATATTCAAAATAATCAGTAGGACAAACAAATATATAGATGCTCCTGTATATATATATCAGACAACACCTGGGTTTGGAAGGGGTTTACCCAGCCAAAGATGCCTATAAAATAGAAGCATGTTTACGAAAACACAATAGTGTGTTGGTGGTTACAATTAGGCACTGAGAAAATTTCATAGCTTATAAACAAAATACAATGTACTCATAAAAGTAGTTCAACAAAGATAATGATGCTTCCAGCCTTTTAGAACGACATGCATGTTTAGATAGAGCTGAACCAGCAAAGAAATCAATAAGATGCTAGTACTCGTGTCGAAAACAATAATGTGTTTGTTGCTTAAACTAAGCATTGGCAAAAACTAATAAATTATAACCAATACCGGAAGTGTAACGACCGACCGCACAAGATATTCAAAACAGTAGTTGGACAAACAATAGACGCATCCTTCAGACAACATTTGAGTTTGGATGGAATTTACCCGGGCTGAAAAGCATATTAAATAAAAGCACTTATACAAAAACGCAATAATGTGTTAGTGGTTACAACTAAGCTGGGAGAAAAAACTTATAGGTTATAACCAATGTTAAAAGTGTAACGACCGACCGCACAAGGTACTCATGAAAGTAGTCGGACAAAGAAATAAAGATGTTTTTTTCTGCCTTTCAGAACCAATGTATGTATGGATAGAGCTGGGCCGGGTAAAGAAGACAATAAAATGTAAGTACCTGTGGAAAAAATCCCCAATATTGAGTTTGTTGTTACAACTAGGCATGGGCAAAAACTAAGAAAGTACAATCTATACCAAAAGTGTAACCACCGACCGCATAATATACTCAAAACAGTACTTTTTTTTTTCTTTGGGTAAGTGTTTTACGGCGCTCGCAACTGCATAAGGTCATATGAGCGCGCGGGATACACCAAACATTTTCAATAGGTGGGAAATTTTGAATTTTGCCCGGGTGGTGGCCGAAGCCTACTCTTATCGATTTTGGACCACCAAGGGGTTTTTAACGTGTGTAACTTGCACACGGGACCTCCGAGATTTTTCGCCCTTGTCCGAGAAGGCTAGGTGTAGATCTTTCCTACTAGAAGATCAGGCTGAAAGACAGCAGTAAGAAGGAGCCAAGGAGTTGCAATTGAAAAGCTGCAGAAGGAGTCAGGAGCCCAGAGGAGGGGGCAAAGAGGGTGAGGGGAGGGGGCAGAAAGTGGAGACGAAAGCAGACGACAGAATATTGCAAGAGAGAAGGAAAG